CTAGGAGGGGGGACGTTATATATATATATATATATATATACAGTGAAATAATTATCCCGACTTGTAGTGTTTCTAAACTATGCGATTTAAATTTCGAAAAATAATAGTATATATATATATATTTAAAGTATTTTATGCAACTATACAACGATGAATTCTTAGGGCAGTAGAAAATGTAAATCTTTTGAAAAACCAATTTCAAATATCAGAGTCACAATAAAAGTCACTTTCTGACTCTAAATGGAACAAGAAATATTTCAGTGTAGCCCAATTCAATAAGCAGCTTATTCTGTAACATAAATTTTATCAACACAAAAATCATTACTCGTCAAAATTCAACGCCATAATAAATATATTCCATCGTTTTTAAGAAATAAAAGGCTTTGCATGGCCTGGTGGTTAGGGTGCTCGACTCGTAGGTTCGAATTCCCGTCCCACCAAACACGCTTGCCCTTTCCGCCATGAGGGCGTTATAATTGTGGTCAATCCCACTATTCATTGGCAAAAGAGTAGCCCAACTGTTGGCGGTGGGTGGTGATGACTAGCTGCCTTCCCTCTAGTCTTACACTGATAAATTAGCGACGGCTAGCGCAGATATCCCTCGTGTAGCTTTACGTGAAATTCAAAACAAACAAACAAATAATATAGCCAAAAGTAGCCTGTCATGAGCCAGTAAGGCTCTGAACAAGTAGATAGATATAGATATTTGTAGCGTAGGAAACATTTATAATGTGATATATGTAAAGCTGGATTTATCAGAACTTCATAGTTATTTCATATAACCTGAGAGGGTAGATGACAGTTAACCTTTTCACTCAAGACAAAGAACTCAGCCATATCGCCAAGTGGCGGCCTTTGATGTGGATACAACCATCTTGGACAATCTCTGTTAGAAGTCTTAACACGCTATGACTTATAGATCTTCTACAGTCATGATACAAGTCATGAAAAAATCCTTCCTGTAATTAAATAATGACATAGAAGAGGCCTTTCCGTAAAAGTTGGATGAATATAGCTTCAACTATTATTATATTTCAATCGTTTAATTGCCAACTTACCATACTTATTCCTGAATAATACTTAATAATTTCCTTTTAGTCTGTTACGACATTACATCTTAATTATTCACATTAATAATTTACTAGATTTTATCCTAAATAATAAGTTCATAACTTACCAGAAAACTCACCTGATGGGAAGGCATAACTTTGTGGTTAGTGTGTTGGGCTGCGGACGGAGTAACCGAGGTTTGAAACATAATGCTATAGAACGTGTTCCACGCTGTTATGAGTGTGTTATAAAATTAAAGGTCATCCTGTTATTCGGTTTAATGAGTTAGACAAAGCCCCCGTGGCGGCAGATGCTGTTGGTTAGCTGAATTCCCTCTGGTCAGTTTTTTGAAGCTTAGGGATAGTTCTTAAGATTTCTATTCTAGTAGTTTAGTTCACGTGAACAAGTTGAAAATTCCGTTTCCTGGTGATTTTGTAGTATACGAACCGGTTCTTATACAATCGTGACATTATTTTTGACCAGTCATATATGCCGTCTCTAATCAGTAAGAACCAGATTTTCAAGTTTCACTCAACATAGCCCTATTCTAACTAACTAAAAATTGGCTAGTTGCAACCAGTTCTTGCCCCAAAAATATTATGATGTTGAAAAATTGATGAAAAGATCTTCGATTTATTAAATGTAAATACTGATGATGACAAAACCTTGTCGAAACATCGTACATTTGCTCTTATGTTAAACTTATATTAAAGTTTTTCTTCATTACCCATTCAAGCCGTCTCCAAGCATTATTAGTCTCAAAGTGGGTTCCTCGAAATCGAATTTAAATACATTTTCGTTCATATTATGACTGCCAGATGAGATTAGTTTAAAATCTTAGGTATCACGTTTGTTACTAGGTTCATAGGAGTTTTATTGTGTTTTATGTTATTTCAAAAACAGAGATATTCTAGAATAGCATTCGTAACCAAAGCACAGAAGAAAACCAACTTACAGCGCACTGGAATTTAAGATATTACTTACACCAGAAACTTGGGCTTAAAGTCAGCGAGGCTTTAGCGCACATCAGGAACATTTAGATCCACGAATTTGTATTAAAAAAACAAAATTAAGAGTAACAAATATTTTTATTTCTTACTTTTGAAGTTAATATGTCATGCTGTGTTGTAGCCTATAGAATGCATAATTATTATCATGATTTATAGCATGCGCACGTTTTACTGACGTCACAACAGTACAAACTGCAAAGTTAAACGTCCTTTATGTGACGTCATTTTAGTGCCTATTAATGACTGACTGACAGACAACACTACTTTATAGTGGTGCAAGTGCTTAAAACAGGTGACTCCTCCAGGCGGTCTTCAGCCCTTTCGGGGAAATTACCGCTAATATGTACACATTTTGTGTGTTAAACATTTTTAAGGTCTTACTCTTTTCTGAAATTTTTGTTGCATATTTTAACGATCGGCTATGTATTACAGACAACATTATAACTCCAGTATGTTAAAAGTCGACTTTTCAGTTTTAAACTTTTGATAACTGACATTGGTACATCATGTACTCACAGTTTTCAAACGAGGTTTAATATGAACATTTTAGTCTAGAGCCTTATATTAATAAGTAAAATACAAATAATAAGTACGTTATTTTTGCCTCATGTCTCAGATATATTACCTAAAGCATTCAAGAAAGGCGTCCATAAATTATTTTAGTAATATAAGCCAATAGTGTTCGATATCCTTACAATAAGAAAGTTAAAAGACTAAAGCTAGCGAAGCATTAAAAACTACTAAGCCTAAAATTTGTGATAAAATTACGTAAACTGTAGCTTTTTTTGTTGTTTTTTATATCAAATTTCTGTAAATTTGTCCATTACAAATTCCAAATTATAGACGTTCATATCTATCTTTTGTCTTCCACCAGTCACTGTCAAAGAGGCCTTTCTAACAATACCAGAACTCATTTGAACCGGAAAAGATAGTTCTGAAACGCTATTTTTTACAAGCCTCTGTATTTTAAGACCGCAATGGACTAATTAAGAGCAACATGGACAAATGCATTCTGCAGTTTACACGATTTTTATCAAAAGCTTTAGGCCCATTGGTTTCTATTGCTTCACCAGAATTAGGCGTTTAAACCGTAATACTTGAAAGACAGCGTCATCTCACTAACAAGTAACTGCAACAGAACTAAAAAGCTAAACATTACGTAACATAGCTACTAGTACTAGTCAGAATTTTCCGTCAGAAAAGACACAGTACAAGGCAAAAATATCTTCAACAAAACAATATAGGAATAATAAAATTGAGCGTATTGTTGCGTCATCGAGGTCACGTGACTGGTGTGGCGCCCTCTAGTTTCTAGAACTATCTTGTTCTTTCAGGAATGCTCTAGTATTTGCTAGATAGGGTAGGCTGGTATATAAAAGAGGGGAATGTAATGTCTGGGTAGATAGTGAGTAATTGAACTGCAGTCAGAGAGAGACGTATTGTTGTAGTTAACGTTCGTTCGTTATTATAGTTTGTTATAACGCGATTGTTGAAGTTGAGTGTATCGTAGAGTTGTATTCGGAAAGAATAAACCAGTTTTATTAAGTAAAGAACTTGTGTCGCTTAAGTTTCGTCGGAACGAAGTTACGGAAAAATCAATTAACAAACGGAGACGTAACAGAATGTATGGTTAACGAACAATAGTCACGGTGAGTTTCGAGTAATTTACGATTCTGTTTCGAGCTATTGTGTGTTTTGCACTCGTAATCGATATTGTGAATCGCTGTGATTTATAGCATGTATTATAAAAGTTGTTAAGTTTAAAGTGACGATAAACGTATTGACTGTGGACTTTCTGTGTACTAAAAGTTTGTATCGAGAAAGAATAAACTGGTTTCATCTAGAAAGGACTTGTATCGTTGAAGTTCCTCGGAAAGAATTTCTACCGGAAATTAACAAACAAGCAGATACGCAACAATATTCTAACTAATGGGTTGTGCCATATAATTCTAAGCTACCTCAAACTAGTGTGGTATGCCTACTGGTATCCGGCAGATAAATGTTAAACCATTCACAAAATATAGTTGCTGGAAATGTTATGAACAGAATAATTTCGAACATTGGACAGCAAAGGAAAAACAAGTGCATAAGTGAATATATATATCACAATAACTCTGTCATATACTTATATATAATTTACAATAACTGAGTAAGTCGTTACTCACAACGCTACACAAAGGGTTATATGTGCTTTACCCACATACACTGATTTTTAGAGATATATGTCCTTGACTTTCTGCTGAGCCAATACGGTGTATTCCATCCAATGATTTCTCACTGGCTGCTGGAGTAGACAAAAATCTACACGTCCACACGGAATAGAGAAAAAAAAATATTTTTTCATTCGCTCATGCAAAAAGATAAGATGAATTCTGATTTAGCCTCCAAATTCTGACAAAATGGATAAAATTGCGGTATACCAGAATCTAATGCTGCATATATCACCAACTGTTTAAAATAACATTTGCACGGAGAAAAGCTCCTAACTCATACCAATTTGTACAATACTATACGTCACCTCTCGAGACTGTATTACCCATTCCCAAAGGACATTCACACAGGGCCAAAGTGATATGAGTTTCTAGTCGCTGGCGTGTGCAACATTTATATAGACTGCTGGATAACGAAGAAACTTCCTTACATGTTTAACACAGTTACAAATGTACAACGTTTGGATAAATTTTCTTTATCATCAGGTATGACATTTCTTATTGTAATAAAGTTTTCTTTATTACCCATTCAATCTGTGTTTAAACTTCTGTTAGTCTCAAAGAGGGTTTCTCATTATAAAATTTACCAGAGTAAGTGGACTTTAACTATGGAGTCGAAAGCTTGCAACAATATTTTAAAAAACACATCAGGAAGTGAAAATCCAACAACTTATAAAGACCGTAAGTCCTCAACTACATTAATTAATTTCTTATTGATTTTTTCTACGGCAGAATGAGAAATATAACAAATTATTAATATTTTTCATAACTGTATGATATTGAAAAGCTTTCATGACACTGCCATTTGGACACCTATATCAGATTAACTTATTATTAATTAAGACATTCTAGAAATATATATGCAAATAATTAGCAATACTAAATAAGATGTTATTATTTGCGTAAAATTTATATTATTTGGAATAAGTCAGGTGGCGATAGGAGAATTGTTTTGGTGCTATTGTGAGTGATTGATACCTAAAGTTAAATAAAACAAGTAAAACTAAGAATTAATAATATTAACAGTGACTAAACGAGTAGGCTAGACGCTTGAGAACAGATAAATACTTAGATTTATTTCTAATGAAGTAAAAAATTAAAACCTATCCAACATTAAGCTCTGTTCTGATTGTTCATTAATATCGCAAGAACTTGAATAAGTTGAAGATAGTGTAGCCTGTTGCACTTGAACATTGAAGTTGCAGTGTTGGGCAAGTTAAATTAAAGGTTGGCTAAGCCTAAAGAAAGATTTAATTAAAACTTATTAATTATTATTGAGTATTAAAAGTAGTGTATTGTATAATAAGACATAAGTATCTTGCTTCAGAAATGTACTAAATTTAAGCAGTTTACATCTTATATTTATAGATTTAATGATTTATGTTTAGAAGTAGTAATAGTGATACTACTATACAAATACAATTTACAAGTGGTATTGAAATTAAATTGAATAAAGTAATTTGTTTTATAAAATTAAATTTTATGCTAATATTAACAACCACTATTGTTCCATCTACAGTTCATTAAAAATTGAATAATCTGCTGTTTCTGTTCGACAGTTCGTTCATTAAGTAATGTTATGAGCACCTCTAATGTTGGGCAGCATGGCTACAATTTTTGATATTTTGACACTATAGTTTTATTAAGGTAGCTTTTTTTCATTACTTTGGTGCTTCTTTTGTAAATAGTTCTTATCGTTAACTTTTGATCAAAGCAAACTACTTAAATAGATAAGAAGTAACAATAAACCCACTAATAACTGTAGATAATTTAACATACTATTCTTGTTTATAAGAGTGTACTGGTTAATCAGTAGGGTACTCTTGCTGTTAGCAGCATTTTCAGCCATAATCCAATGAGGTTTAAATAATTTACAAGATTTAATTTGATCTGTTTGTTGTTCTAGTGTCTAAATATGTTTAAAAGTCATATTTTCAAAAATGAATCCTAATGCTGTTGTATATTTTGATGATGTATGTTTGCTTTATGTTGAACTAAAATTTGTAGCTGGCATGATATTTTCAAGAACTTCCAGACTAATCACCACAACAGGTGAATCAGGACAAAGATATAAGGCTACTTTGTTTATTGTAATTGTTGTAAGTTATGTAATTGAGTTTTATGGAATCTTGTGACATCATTCAATAATTATATAAAGTTCCATTATTATCTTTCAGGAACACTGCTAACATAATTGAACTTTCAAGATGATGGAACTTAACCTAAACCGTGTTGACTACTTGCAGGTAATATGTCTAAATGATGTGTTATTCTGTACTAAGAATACTTGCTGTATATACAAATTAATGGTAATATTGTGAACTTTATAATATATATAGTTATTTGTACATTTAGCATATCAGTAAAGTAATTTTAAAACTTGATTAGAAATTTTTAACTGTTTTATAAAGTGACATATTTAACATGGCCTTAAAACCTCCCTAAGATATATAGACAGGTTTTGTATTTTTTGATGATCCATAACAGCATGTGTTTACTGGTGTGAGCCAAACACATAAACATACAAAGGTGATGAGTAAAATGTGCTTATTAATCGGCATCTAATGATAATTGGCAAAGTTGCTAATCATCTATCTTGCAGAAAGTAGTTAACAGTTTTTAAATAGTTAATACATTTTAGAAGGTTATTTTAGGAAAGTTTATATGTAGGTGTTTTAAATAATTTTCAGTACATTTAATGAAATTGAAATTTTGTGATTAGCTCTTGTAGATTTGTTGGCCCATGGAAGTGAAAAGAAGAGATTGATATGTAAGAAGTATTTTACTTGTTGTAGCAAAGATATTTTGAGGAAAAAGGAGATGATGTTAGATGAAGGAGTATTTGTTATTTTAGTAGTTTTTAATGAACCGTGCAGAAGATCTCATTTGCAACAATGGTATTGCATTTCTTTTTCATGTACTAATTAATTTAACATGTGGGTTCTTTATAGAGATGTCTTTCATGATGTGGGGTTTATTTTTGAGACTTGTTCCTGTTATTTATGCCAATGTTTTGGACAGATTAATGATTATTGATAGTTTAGATTTTTCTGTGTGGTTTAGAGGAATAATGGCATACAGTTAAACTACCCCTACGTGACAAGAGGGTTGAAGATTTGTCTGGATCAAATGTCTACTCTGTGTGTACAAATGTCGTACTTTCACAAATGTTAACACCTTTATAGTGTCATATGCAAAATTTAACGAAGAAAACTTTGATATGAATGTATCTCAATACATTTTGTATAAAAATGTTTGTAGTTAAAAGTTTTATGTTATCCAAGTTTTAATTTCTTAATTTCAAAAAGAAATGTTTAAAACACTTGTAATCTTCTTTTGTGTCATATTATGTGCCTGAACTCTGATTTCTTCCCTTCAGAATTGTCTAACTTTTAAAGTAGGCTGCTGGAATTTCTACCAACTTAGAAAAACAAAGAATGAGTAATTGTCAGTAAGAATCTCAAACTTGAACCTTTTAACTGACTGATTTGCTGGGATATCAATAAATTTGTCAAACTCACCAGAACCAGGAGGGGCATGGTTCTGGATATCTTCACCATTTTGGTGTTTGGACTCTTGCAGAGTGGTCTTTTCATGTCATTGTCCTTGTGACTTAGGCAGTTAATAGGCCTGCCACCATTGTTTGTTACAGCTGTTTGAATATTCTGTTTTAATCTATTTCATCAACACAACTGTTTGTTACTTACATCATTCAAGTGGGAGGTATATTTGCTCTTGGGACCTCTGCATTCTTGCTCTCAAGCCCCCCCTTGGGTTCATGACAACAACATTGGGTTGTTGGCCTTCCATGTTCTCTGAGCTTTGAATTTAGTGGCAGATCAACTTTATCATTTGGACTAAATACTTCCAACTGAGTGGTGTATACATTTCCCTGTGTTATTTTTGAGTTGTTCCCACTTTGGGAGTCTTATCATTGATGAGTTTACAACTGCCCTTTACACCAAGCTTCCATTTTTTTGTTAACCATTCCCAGACTTCATGGCCCATGTGGTATTTCCTCTGAGTATGGATTGGTTCACATTCTTTCTGTATACCTGTTCTCCTCTTTGGATTCTTCCCAAGATGTTGCCTGTAATTCACAGCACTCCTTGCCAGGTTCTGGTCATTGCTTATCTTTGGCCAGCACAATTCTCATTTCTACTACTTTGCCTCTTGGTGATCATGAAGCCTCTGTGTCTTTTGACTTGGAGGTCTTTTTTTTATGTCAGTCTCAATTGTCCATTTTCCCATACAGTATTTACCTCATCTCACAAGATTAGCTATTCTATTTCAGTGCTGTCCTCTATATGCAAATGTTTTCTTTATGCATGCCACAAGCCTTCTGTTACCCCCTATTGGAATTGCACGATCAACTGATCAACACAAGTCCTCACAAAGGTTTTTGGGTTGTCTATCTTCTTCCTTCAGTTTCCTCTGTCTGCGTTGTGGGTCACAGCGGTGGTACATGGGATTGTTCCAGTTCTGTCTTCGGCTATCCCTCGTCCTCTTCTTACAAGAATGTTATTGCCATTTGGATGGTCCCGGCCTGTTTCATGGTTAGGGGAGTTGATTACATGTGATAGACATTGTTTTGATACTGGATGACAAGTTCCCAGATCAGTAGCTCAGAGCTAATCCACACGTCATACCCAGAAATCATAGTGGTTATCAATCTTCCAGTTCTTGGGTTTGAGGGGAAGACGGTATGATCCTCATCCTACCCTCGTGTGGATGTAGGTATCCTTCAGGTAGGTTTTGGATGTAGTTGATTTACCGAGTATGGTCTGCTGTGCCGTAGCTACTCTACACCTAGGGGCACATCCTTTATTTACCCATCTTCCTCATTGTAGGATTGAGTTACAGTATATTTCTATGGTTAGGATATCTTTCTTGCTACATTCTCTCCCACTTGGATGTGCTCCTCTCATTTTCTGCCCTTATATCTTACATATTCCACAATTGGGCGGAGAGTATACCTGTATCTCTCATTTCCAGTGGTATCTTTCGGATACTTTTGGGGAGTACTTCTGTTGTTCCCTCATACTAGCTCCTCCTCCTTATTAGTGTAAGCACTGTATTGGAAATTATAATTTTCCAATACTGAAAATGTATTTCTGATAGGTACTTACCTCTGCTGACTCTTCCCACCCTTCCTCCCCATATTTCTTCAGTTCTAACATGTTCTGCCGAACTTCAAAGTGATAATTCGGTAGAGTAGTGTAGAGGGAGTCACATGTGTCATGTGAGTATAAACTGCTCCTATTGGTGAGGAGGTAATGCATAATGATTTGCAGGAGAGACATGTTGGAATCTTGCAATTCCAATAGGGGAGAGCAGAAAAAGTTTGCATATAGAGGGCATCACTGAAAGACTATAGTTAATATTGTGAAGGTAAGTACCTATCGGAAACACATTTTCAGTATAGGAAAATTCTAACTTTCACCATGATTTTCCACACCTTTATCTTCACATGTGGTTTTTGTCCAGTCTCTTACAAAATTGTCAAGCTTTTTTATTGCTTGTTCTTGTCAACTGTCCACCTTTTCAAGTTATCATTACAAGTAAATTATTTCTTAATGTTGGTCTATTTGCCACTCTCTTCCTCTCAGATGTCCGACTCTTCCTCATTTCACTTCCTTTTTTATTTGATGTTTTGAGTGTGGTCAGCAATCACTGGCATCAGGGCAGCTTTGTCAAACCTTCCACCTTTTACTTTGTTCAGTCTCCTTTTCATCTCTAGTTCTTAATGATTTCTTCTGACCATTTCTAATTAGTTATCCTCTTCCTCATTTGGCTCCTCTTTGGTACTTTAACCTCTGTTTAGTTCTCTGGTTCTTACATGACTTCCATTCAAACCTTTGACCATCTTTCTATTAAGACGTATGCCTTCCAGTAGCTCAGCAGTAAGTAATAGTTCATTGTGTAGCTTTGTGCTTAGCAACAATCAAACAAACTAATATATTTGACTTGGATGCTTCCTACACTCATTTACAGGTTGATTTTATACCAAGACTTGGGTTGCTCAGGAGGGTGATCGGATGTTGCCCTCCTTTTCTCTGTATAATCATTCAGACTCTGATTATTTTCTTCGTCGTGTTATCTAACTTATACTGTGTATATATATATATATATATATATATATATATATATGTGTGTATAGACACACACACATACTGGTGACATATAAACTAAATACAAAGAATACATTTTTTGAAATCTGCATAGAGTAAGGGATAACAGATAGTGTTCAAATGCTGCTTTGTACTGAGAGGATGTGTAATGGGTTACTGCGAATAGGAACAGGAAGAGTTGGCTTAGTGTCAGGGCAGGAAAACATACTCACAGCAAGTGTGGAGCCTTATGTAACTGATAGATTATTCTTGTTTAGTCCTCTCAAATGTCCAGTGTTCTTACCTACTCAAATTCCTTCTGTTTTCTTCTAGTGGAGTGGGAGAATGCTTGCTTTTTCAGTATCAAGTCACTGGGGAAGTCTATATGGAGAGTTTTTCATTGTATGAGACAGAGTGGATACGTTGGAAGTAGGACAGGAGTGTTTACCAGGAAAAGTAATATAGACCACCCCTACACTAAGAACTAGACCATTCCTGGTGGTTGTGTCCAGCTGGATGGGTCTTACATTTTCCTCAGAGATGATTCATCCCTGCACCAGCATATTATGATAAATATATCACAAGTATTTCTCATGTACTGTTCGGTTTGACTTATTTCCCTGGCCTCACCACATGTTTATTGGCTGCCGACCCCCTGGTATATACAGACTGGTTGAGTAGTCATTACTCTCTCTTTCCCCCTGTGCAATGGCACCATGCAAGAGGTTCTTTTAGCTGTACCTATCTGTACTACCACTTGTATTGGATTAAGAGTATTCTCTGCATGATTCTCCCACTAGGTCTGCCCCCACACTTTGAGTTCACTTTCTGTCAGTATTCTCAGAAAGGGGCTTATCTTTCTAATTTCTTTATCAACCCTAGTTCCTTCACTGTCTTTTCTGTATGATTCTGGCTATCTTTTCTGTGGAAAGGTGAGTTCTCAAATGAATATTTTCCTTACCTAAAAATGTATTTCAGATCTATACTCACCTCTTCACAGGACCATTCACCCTTTATCCCTTCTTCTGGTGTGTATCTTTGCCTTGTTGAGAATAAGCTTTCGTTACACAGAAAGTGCTCATGGGGCGTACTGTGTATGGAGAATGTGTTGCCATCCTATTGGTGGAGGGGTATAGTGCATCGTAAACTAGTGCTGTACATATTATATTATTTAGGGGTGGGTATTTCAGTTTAAGGCTTGGCACAACAAAAACTTTTTGGCAGTGGTGCAGGTTATGTTGGCTATCTGGTTTGTGGAGAGGTGAGTCCTGTCTAAAATACAGGAACATTTTTGTTTCATGCTGTTAATAATATGGGATAGAACTGACCTGGTTATTGTTTTACTGTTTTTAGAACCTTACCAGATTCATGTTGTTAATAATGTAGAATATGTGGGAACCACTTGTTGAAGGAACTTCTGACCTGGTTATTGTTTTACTGTTTTCAGAACCTTACCAGATTCATGTTGTTAATAATGTAGAATATATGGGAACCACTTGTTGAAGGAACTTCTGACCCGGTTATTGTTTTACTGTTTGCAGAACCTTACCAGATTCATGTTGTT